TGGCCAAAGACCAGGAGATTGGGAGTTCTAGTTCCTCCTTAGGCATGAAAAACAGCTTGGTATCTTTGGGCCAAAGACCAGGAGATTGGGAGTTCTAGTTCCTCCTTAGGCATGAAAGCCAGCTGGGTGTCTTTGGGCCAATCAACAGGAGATGATGAGTTCTAGTTCCTCCTTAGGCACAATAGACAGCTTGGTATCTTTGGGCCAATCAACAGGAGATTGGGAGTTCTAGTTCCTCCTGAGGCACAATAAACAGCTTGGTATCTTTGGGCCAAAGACCAGGAGATTGGGAGTTCTAGTTCCTCCTTAGGCATGAAATGCAGCTGGGTGTCTCTGGGCCAATGACCAGGAGATTGGGAATTCTAGTTCCTCCTTAGGCATGAAAGCCAGCTGAGTGTCTTTGGACCAATCAACAGGAGATTGGGAGTTCTAGTTCCTCCTGAGGCACAATAAACAGCTTGGTATCTTTGGGCCAAAGACCAGGAGATTGGGAGTTCTAGTTCCTCCTTAGGCATGAAAGGCAGCTGGGTGTCTTTGGGCCAATCAACAGGAGATGATGAGTTCTAGTTCCTCCTTAGGCACAATAGACAGCTTGGTATCTTTGGGCCAATCAACAGGAGATTGGGAGTTCTAGTTCCTTCTTAGGCATGAAAGGCAGCTGGGTGTCTTTGGGCCAATCAACAGGAGATGATGAGTTCTAGTTCCTCCTTAGGCACAATAGACAGCTTGGTATCTTTGGGCCAATCAACAGGAGATTGGGAGTTCTAGTTCCTTCTTAGGCATGAAAGCCAGCTGGGTGTCTTTACACCACAGTCCTTCTCTTTCAGCCCAGCCCAACATGGCAAACAGGAGGAAGGAAGGAAGGTATGTCGGCTACGATCTGCACCTTGAGTTATTTGTCAACCCAATAAAGGTGGGATGTGAATATACAGAATTAAAACGAGGCCGGTCACCCCCCCCCCCCATCCTTACCCTGGGGTACAAAGTGTGCTCGCAGGAGGGCCTTGGCCTCCAGTTTCACCTCCTTCTCGGACTTTTCCGGGTCCTGGATGCCAGCGGCAGCTTCGATGGTGAGGGCGCAGTAGGTGTGAGGGGAGTAGAGGTCGTAAGGGGGCTGGCCTGCAGCGATGGTGAACCCCAAAACCTGCACGGATCCATGCAGGCATGTCAGGCGGCATTTGCCCGTGAAGGTCAGATTCTGGAGACAGAGAGGAAAAAAAAAAACAGAACAAGCCACGGAGTTGTTACAGGCAATCCCCGACTTACGACGATTCGTTTAGCGACCGAAGCCACGACAACCCTGAAAACAAGTGACTTTGGAAACATTTTTCACTCTTACGACTGCTGCGCATCCCTGTGGTCACACGATCAAAATTGGGGCCCTTGCTGACTGATTCATACTTATGACGGTCGCAGTGTCTCGGGGTCCCCCTGATCCCGTTTTGTGACCTTCCCAATAAGCAGCCGGATTCACTTAAGAAACCCTCGTTGCTAACTGAAAAAAGGGCAGCGATTCACTTAACAACCATGGTCGTAAAATGGGGCAAAATTCACTTAACAACCATTTTGCTCGGTAATGGGAATTTTTGGGCTCAATTGTGTAAGTCGAGGTTGCCTGTATTGTTATTTAGGTTTTGGGGTGGCAGAGGAAGGGCCAGCGGGGAAAAGACACAAATATCCCCCCCAAAAGGGGAGGAGCCCCCAAAGATCCACCCACAACGATCTGCCATTCAAACAGCACCTTCTAAACAAACTCTAGGCCACGCCCCTTAAGTGTATTTGCATGGCACCCGCCCCTCTCATTTGCATGACCCCGCCCACGCTCACTTGCTCCGCAGGGAGCAGCACCACCGCGCGGCCTTTGCGGGTTTTGGCGACCGTCAGCGTGGCCGGCTCAGCTGGGAGCTCCGGCGGAGGCGGCGTTTCTCGTCGAGGTGCCCCGTTTTGGAGCCGCTTCGGGCCGGCTAAGCGCCGACGGCGGCGGCGGCTCGCCATCCGAGCCTCCCCGGTGCAGCGAGGAGCTTCGTCTCCACAGCGACGGCAGGGGCTGTCCTCTCGCGAAATCTCGGGGACTCTCGCGAGAGGAGGGCCCGCCACGCCTCTCCGCCCTCCTCCTCCTCCTCCTTCGGTGCTGATGGAGTTGCGAAAATGGTAGACGAGCCCCTTCTTCACTTGGATTCCACCTTCCGGGAATGTTTTAGCCAGTTGAATATCCCAACCATATGCAGAAATCAAAATTAGGATTATTAATATTATTATTTCCGAAACATTCGTTTTGCCCCTTTGCAGTTTCAATAGAGGGAGATGTCATGGCTAGGTGGCTCAGTGGCTAAGACGCCGAGCTTGTCGATCAGAAAGGTCGGCGGTTCGAATCCCTAGTATAGGTCTCCTGCGAGAGCAGGGGGTTGGACTAGATGACCTCCAAATACACCTTCCAGCTCTGTTAATGTTACTGACCTCACCCAGAGGAGGATATTAGGGACTTGGCAGATGGGCGGGCTTCAACTCCCCCCCGCCCCACAATTTCCCATCTTAAGCAAAGCTTCTGCATACATTTAATGCTTATTAAATTTTAATATTAAGAATTGATATTGATATAAAATATATGATACATAAATATTTAAAAAAACTCAAAAAAATCAAGTCATTCGACCTATTTTAAAAAAGAGATTAAAATTATTGCTTTTACAAAAATAGAGGGCCAAAAAAAAAAAAACCCCACGCCTCCTCTCTCGAAATCAATTCCTCCCCCTGGGATCACCAGTCCCATCCAAGGCTGGGAAGCATGGGCTGCGTGGTTGCACCGCCTCCCTCCCTCCCTCCCTCCCTCGCTGGATCTGATCCGCACGTGGCGCGGCAGGGCTAACAAGAGGGCGGGGCCGGAGGGCGTGGCCCAGCCCCTTCATTAGCATGCCCCGCCTCCATCTCCTCTGGTGACGTCACGCACGTCTCCTGCCCGGGCCAAGATGGCGGCGCTCTGCTTTTCTTGCCGGCGGGTTCAGTGAGGGGGGGGGCGCGGTGGAGGTGAGCCATGGGGGGGGG